AGTCTGGCCAACATAGTGAAACCCCGTCTCTACTAAAAATACAAAACATTAGCCGGGCCTAGTGGCGGGCGCCTGGAATCCCAGCTACTTGGAAGGCTGAGGCAGGAGAATCGCTTGAACCTGGGAGGCAGAGGTTGCAGCGAGCCGAGATCGAGCCATTGCACTCCAGCCCAGGTGACAGTGTGAGACTCCGTGTCAAAAAAAAAAAAAAGAAAAGAAAAGAAAAAGAAAAGAAAGAGTGGGGCTAGGAGGATTAGGCTCCGGTGAATCCTCACTCTGGGAAATCCTGTCCCCCCGAACCACAGGGACGACTTCTGCCACAATTGCTACCCCCAATCAATTCTTCTGTGGAGGTGCGGGTGGCAGTCCACCAGGTGGCACGTCCTCATGTCCCCTTCAGCCATCCCCTCGCACCTCTGCACAGAGCGGATGGGGGCGGGGGTCTTCATTGCTTATTTGTTTTTGTGGTTGTGGCAGCTGCTTCCTTTTTTATTTTGTTTTTGGCTGCTATAATCTGAACTCTTCTCAAATGTTGGGGAACGCTTCTCAGTGGAGCCTGGGAGTGCGTCTCCCCAGCCTCCCTTGCAGCAGGGAGCTGGCATGTGGCTGAGGCCTCGCCAGCTGTGCCTGTTCCGAGAGGTGGGCGTGGACTGAGGACTGAGCATGGTCCCTGAGCCCACCAACACGCAGAGTGACCGAGGGGCTGCCAGGACAAATCCTCCATGTACATACCAAGAGAGGTAGTGACACCAGGTCCCATGCTCAGGGTCCCATCAGGGATGGAGGCTCTTCAAGGAGAGATTTGATACCGAAAAAGAAGTGCACCATGTTTGTTTCGTCACATATAAAGCGAAAATAACATGGGCAACTTCTTTTCAGGTACCAGAGATGAGCACGTCCTCCCCACCAGCGGCACACCTGGGCGTGAAGGGACACGAAGGGTCAGGGCGTGGGGGCAGGGCTGGGCAGACACTACCAATCAAACTTATGCTCAATTAAGCCTAAAAGCATCAGGTGTTGGCTAACCCAAGGTAGGCGGGGGGGCATGCTGCGAAGGGCTGGGCTGACACTACCAATCAAACTTATGCTCAATTAAGCCTAAAAGCATCAGGTGTTGGCTAACCCAAGGCAGGCGGGGGGCATGCTGCGAAGGGCTGGGCTGACACTGAGCAGAGGCGGACAGTCATCACAGATCACAGATAAAGCAAACCGATCCTAGACTCCCTCTACTTCGGGATCCCAGGAAGTCTTCATGGGCAGAATTCAATAATCAGGGCAGACGGCTTTTGGAATGTTTACTATCAAACCCACAAATGGAGAAAATGGGATGTTCCCGGACCCAAAAATGGAATCTCCTCCATGAGTCCGTGGTTCCAGGAAGTTCTCCTCTTCAGAGATGGGAAGACAAAGATATCGAATTAGGAGAAACAAACCACTAAGGCAGCCCCGGCTCTCGGTGGACCCATCTATCTGTGCACCTTGCATGGTCCTGACCACCATGCCTCCTCCCTAAGGTGCTCTGGGTTCCCTGGAGGCACGGCTTGCTTCTAAAACACTTGACAGTTTGGTGTGAGTTGTGACAAATACAACCAACCCGCAGAAAGCCAAAGGACAGCAGGGGCCAGGAAAGGACAACAGCTTCCCCAAATCCGCATCACTTGAAGGGCAGCCTCCCAGGGAGAGGTGGATTCCAGGGAGAGTGAATCAGGGCAGAAGTTCTGGGGGCCACCACCCTTCAGGCCTTCCAGAGAGGACCCAGTGATCCATTGCTGGACACAAAACACGGTAATTGTGCATCATTTGTCAACCATAAATTAAATCACTAAGACAAAGCTTTGAAAGCATAAGTCCATAAGAAAAGTCACCTTTCACAAAGACCCTGCCTTAAATAGGACGCTGAAGATAGATAGGCAAACCGTGAGAAACACATAATCAAAAAAATGCAGGCTTTCCCAGTCACACTGGAAAACACACTGTGGTATCATCTGTTTGTATTGCAAGTAAGATAAAATCTAACTCAAACTGGCTTAAACAAGTAAGGGATGTATAGACTTATATAACTAAAAAGTACAGAGACAGAGCAAGCTTCAGGCAGGGTTTGATCTAGGGGCTCAAATGATATCACCCAGGCTCTTCTCTAGGTCTCCAAGATGCCTTTCATGGTACAGACTCCCTCTTCTGTGTCTGTGCGGCACCAAGCCCTCTCCTCTTAGTCCTTAAATGGCTGTAGGACCTTCGAAGCTCACATCAAAGTTCACTGTCTGTTACCAGCTGAATGGAATAGACAGTGTCTACTCTGGCAGCTATCATAGAAAAGGGAGAAACAGTTTCTTTCCCAGAAGCCACAGCAAACATCTCCTTGCCTTTCACTGGCTCAGTGGGGTCAGGAGCCTATTCTGGAAGCAATTGCAGTGGCAAAGAAGAAGAGATCAAGAGATTCACTTAAGCCTGGGCTAGTGAAGGAAGTCGGGCAGGGTCAATGCAATCAAAGCACATGGTGGGAAGAGGGGAGCTTTCATTAAAAAAAAACCAGGGGAAATTTAGGAAGGGAGAAAAGACATGGGGTGGGGAGGTCCTGACCAGCATCCACTACAGGGGCCCATGTGCCTTCCCTGAAGTTGGCACCCGAACCAAGACGTCTTCAAGGCAGAATAGGATACTGAAAAAGAAGTGCACCGCGAATGTTTCGTCACAAATAAAGCGAAAAAGACACGGGCAACTTCTCATTAAGTACCGCACGTCAGCACCGTTGACAGCACTGCTTCTCCGCGACTGGTATCACTTCTGTAGGCTTCCTGAGAACACATGGGTCCTGATGCACACCGGGCAATGGGTGACAAAGATATGGCCCTGCATACAACCCACCTCAAGACCTCGGAGACTTCTAACAGGTCTGCCCCCTCTGTACAGGTGGCACTGTGTCCTGGAGGTGCTTGTGGGCAGGATGTGTTCAATTCATCAATAACAAAGTCTCCTCCAGGATCACAGAATGACAATGGCACAGAAACACTGGTTTGGCATCCTAAAAGTCCTCCTGAGGATAGATAAGCAGGGACCAGGAGAGTCACAATAACTCCCCAGATAAGATCGATGAGCTCTACCACCTACCCTTCAGGGGCAGACAGCAAAGTGCCTGCCCTGATGGAGCCCCTCAGCCAAGGACGTCTTCACAGAACGAGTACCACAAGGCATTTTTTAATGTTTGCCTCAAACAGATGGAATGACCAGAGGTCCTGACACAGTGTCACCACCATCGACCAGCTTGAGCCCGAGAAGTGCCCCCATGGCAGATCGGAGCTGCGGGTTAGGGAGGGATGAATGAGCAATGAATAAAGCCCAAGTCCTCAGGTGGGCCACGTGGACAACTCTCCTGGTGGCCAGTCCTCCCCAGTTCATGCATTCACACCTCACCGCAACCTCCTCCCGGGTGGAGTGTGCCCCCCTGCCCCTTGCCTTGGGCTCAACCACGTAATTGATTCTGGTCAATGATCTACGCGTGGAAACACAGCAGTTCCCAGCCTTGGCCTTAAGGAGTTCCTGCGTTTCTAGTCAGTTTCTTGTGCTTCTGCCGTAGCCGTGGGAATGTCCCCAGGGCGGGGTGAGAGCTGTGGGTCTCACCTTCAGACTCCAGAGCAGGCCTTCTCTCCACAAGTCATCCTAGGAATGGGAGGGAGGCCGAGGATGAACGGACCAGGACACACACCCGAAACAGAACGTCTGCTCTCAGACAAGATATCCGCTCCCATACCTCTCCATGGACCTGACGCCAACAGCCCTCCCCGCAGCGCGTGTCACAGCCGGGACACATCTTCCAGAGTCTGACACTGAGAGCATCCAGGGCATCTCGGGCCTTGTAAGGCAGTCAGAGCTGAACCACAGACAGAGGTGAGCAACGACAGCAAAGCCTTCCCCAAGCATGGGCTGAATGCCGCCTCGGGAGTGGCTGGATTCTGAGTGGTCTCGACACAGGAAGGGCTCATCTCAATCACGCCGCCAGCTCCTCAGTCTCCCACCCACGACTCACCAGGAGTGTCGCCGACACCAGTGGCACTGCCAGAATCTAGCTTCATGTCCAGGAAGTCCTCCTGTGGAAAAGAGATGGACCATGTAGCATTCATCAGACACATGGCAAGCTTTGTCAGACAGCCTCTCTTCATGTAGCACAGAATAAAGTGGCCATAACAACCACAGCTGTCCCAACACTTGCCCTGTCCTACACACACAAAACCACTCCTCAAACCCTTCCAAGGATAACGACACCCCTGCACCAGGCCCCCCCCACACACCTCCTGCAGTCAGCATGCGGTGTGAGGTGGGCCTTTCCCTGCTGGGGCACTGAAGCTGAGGCCTCCTCGGTCCTGGCATTGTCTGTGCTCAGGCTGTCAGCCCTCCTGGGCGGGATTTGAAACCAAAAGAGAGATTATTCACTGATGATTGCTTACACTGACTTTAAGGAGGTGGGAGGAGGAGCCCCCAAAGGGAAACCCCTCCTGAAATCCTGCAGAGTCCCATGAGCCCCACGTCCTCCCACATCTTCTCCAAAGTTGCCATGTGCACCAAGATGTCATCCCACAGATGGACCGGGCGCTGGTGGATAGTCAAACGGGTGACCTACATCGTAAATGAAGTGCACGTCACCGGTCTACCATCCCCTCAGCTACCCTGGAGAGCAGATGGCACCATCGTCCCTTCAATGACACGGCTGGCGTGTCCAGAAGGCCATCTGAGCAAGACCTCACACTGAAGAGGCACCACCCACCGTGAGTCAATAAATAGGCACACACCACAATGAGTGACCTCCCTCAACCACAGAAGCACAGGCCCTTCTCCAGACTCAGCTGCCGTCCCAGGGGCCTCCGCCGGACCGCTGGGCCTGAGAGCCGCACCCCTGGGACACACGGCAAGCCGTCGGCCTCGCTTGCGCCCACCAAGACAGGAGCCGGCAACGTCCCTCCCTGAAGGCTGCATCAGGAACAGGAAGTGCCTCCAGGGTGGGATTTGATACTAAAGAAGAGGTTTCCCGTGTATGTTTCATCATAAATAAAGAGAAGACAACACGGACAACCTCTCCTTCGAGTATCGACAATTAGCACTGATCAAAAAACAAACAAAAAAAATCAAAACAAAACTGCCGAATCTTCACCAACGTCGGTGTCACCTCCAGGAGGATTCCATGGCTCTGCACCCTTGCCACCTGTCCTTTGACCCCTGTGTAGCCAGCAGAGCACCCACTCTGCATGGACTCAGCAGCCGCCTAACCTGAATACGCCAGAGGCAACAGCACACTGCTTGCTGTCACATGGCCTTGACACTCTCTCTCTCTGCCCTCTCTTTATGAGGGCCCTTTTCGGCTGGAAGGAACGGTGTTTGGGTATCAGCTAGTAGGAAGAGTTGGCAACGGTGGTCATTGGTGCTACCTCATATGTTCTGTCTCTGGTTATAAAAAGCAGGGTTGAGATGGAAAGACCTGGCCTTCTCCAGAACCTGACACCCTCCTTCCCCACAAGTCCCCTCCCCAAATGCCACGGATGAGCTGAGGACCCACAGTCACAACTAAGTGCCATCAAAACAAATGCAGCACCAGAAAAACCTACTTCTGTGCCTTAGCCTTAGAGCTAGCAGGGAGCCACTTCCTTCCCCAGAGGCCGGTATCACCTCCAGGAAGTCCTCCTGGAAAGGATCGGGCACCAAGCATTACTGCCAGACAGGATGCTCAGAACAGGAGAAGCACCCATCTCCGGCCCACTCACCCTGGCCAGGGGCTTGACAACTACTGTCTTATCCCAAAGCCTTCTGAGCTGGTGTGTTTGATACTGAAGAGTGGTCCGCAGAAATGATTTGTATAAAAGAAATAGATATGCCAAAGGAAACCTCTCCTCAAGCACCCCAAAGAAGAACCATCTACAGAAACACAACCCCAAGGATGGGTCAGATGTGCTGGTCAGTGAAGCAGGTGTGTTCCTGGGGGCCCCATGGTGGGCCATCCACTTCCTTCCCCTGGATCGGGGCTGATGACAATGCCCTCCCCTCAAGTTGGCATGACATCAAGGATTTCTCCAGACTTAAAATAAGTCAACTCCACAATTCCTGTTAGAAATAAACAGGTCCCAACTTAGGCCAATTCCAGGGTCCCCGAGGTCTCCTCTTGACCTCAGAATCAGCTTTTCTTCTCTAAGGTGTCATTATACTCAGGACATCCTTTCAGAATAAACTGCAGGCTGGGGACAGGTGTGCAGGACACCTGCGCTGTCTGTCCAGGGCATGATTCCCATCAAACTGGCATTCCCCTGCGGTGGGCTTGGCTCATTCAAGCCCATCACTGAGTGTGGCGAGAACCAGGCATCCCCCAGCAGCAGGGTCTGATGCCAAAAGAGCCTGAATGACACACACGATCCATTGGGAGCACGACGAAGGCAACCACAGACGACTCACCTGCATGTTCCATGACACTTCGTGGTGATACTGTCTTCCCCCAGGCTGCCACCACATTGAAAAGTCCTCCTAAGAAGGGATAAGACATTGAGGGTTAGTGCAATTGGTGGCAAAATTCAGAAACATGGAGCACGCTTAGCAGTCACCATTTGCTCATGTCTACTTATTTATGCCCAGAGCACCCCTTCCCTGAAGCTGAGGTCTGGACCAGAAGGCCTCCAAGGTGGGGACTGATACTGGAAAAGAGGTTAACCAGGTGTGTTTCATCCTCAGTAAAGAAACAGAGACCCAGAAAACCTCCCTTCAGGTACCACTGATTCACACTGACAAGAACATCACTGATTCCTTCCCCAAACCTGACATTCAGTCCTGGAAGTCCTGTTAAATCCGGATTGGACACTGGGGTTAGTAGAACAGATGACATCAGTCAAAATAATACGGCACAGGCTTTGTGGTTAACCATAGATTTCTGTCCAGTGAACTGGAGCTGAGAGTAACGCCCTTCCCTGAAGCTGAGGTCTGGACCAGAAGGCCTCCAAGATGGGATTTGATACTGGAAAAGAGGTTAACCAGGTGTGTTTCATCCTCATTAAAGAAACAGAAACCCAGAAAACCTCCCTTCAGGTACCACTGATTCACACTGACAAGGAACACCACTGATTCTTCCCCAAACTTGACATTCAGTCCTGGAAGTCCTGTTAAATATGGAATTGCACACTGAGCGTTAGTTAGTAGATTTGCTGGAGGAAGCCAAGAGTTGGATGCATGCTGCTCGCCAACCACCTGTCCAAGTACCCCAGTGGAGCAGACCCCATGGCATGCCTTGAAATTGACATCACAGCCAGAGGTGGTGATGCCATAGAAAGGCTGGTCACAGGAGCTATCACATTTAGGGTTAACCCCCAGGGCCATGTTTTCTCAGTTACTCAAGAGAGGCACAGATGCCCCAAACCAAGGCTGACTCCACCAAAGGTCCTGCTAAGGACCTAGTGGATACTGAGGTGAGGCGGGCCAGGTGCCCTTGGTTGTAAATAGAAGTGCACACACTCAGGTCAGCTGATCACTCGAGGATTTGAGGATGGTATAGACAGCATGCCCCTCCCCTTGAACTTGGATGCTTCCACATCTGGGAAGCCCTCCAAGGAAAGAGACTGGAGTGAAAATCAGTCCAATTCAGTCACATTTGGTACACGTGACGCGAACGCCTCGCAGATGCTCTCTTCAGAGTCTAGCAGAGTGCAGCCGGCCCCGGTTTATTGTCTCTTTCCCCAAAAGTTGACACCTCTTCCAGGAAGTTCTCCAAGGGGGCATTAGATACTGAGGGGTAGTGGACCAGGTCACAAACGGCACATATAAAGCGTGTGCTCTCTGGTCAACCATCTCACGTATCCAGGCACGTGCTGACACCACGCTCCTTGTCCGCAAGTTAACCCTGCCGCCAAGCCAGAGCAGTGTGCTGAGAAGAAGGCTGCCACACGTGAGTTATCGTCACACACAAGACAAACACATCACAAACCCCGCTGGGTTGCACTGAGCGCAGATCTAGTGCCCCCCCCCCTCCCCCCGCAGTTGATGTTAGCTCCAGGAAAGCTTGCAAGGCGGGATTAGATACTGCAAAGAGGTCGACCGTGTAATGTGCGCCATAAATAAAGCGAACGCGCCACGGACCACCTCTCTCCAAGTACCAAGCAGCAGCCGTACTGACACCAGGACAGTGGCTCTTCCTCAAAGCTGATATCACCTCCTGGAAGTCTTCCGAGGCGAGATGTGATATTGAGAAGAAGTAGACCATGTGTCCTACGTTATAAATAAAGCGTACACACCATGGTCAACCGCATCTTCAAATACCAGGAAGTGACGGTGACCCCTGGCTCTCTTCCTTTCACCTGCTATCACCTCCAGAAAGCCCTCACAATGTGCATCATGAACTACCAGCCACCGGCAACGTGACAATGACCACAAACTCACATCCAATGCCACTACCACCTCCAGGATGCCCTGTAAGGCTGGGACCGGTGCTGAGTTCTTGGCTGGTGGACCAAATGGCCAATGTAATAAATAAAGGACAGGGTCTGCAGCCGACCACCCGGTGACCTGCACTGCATAGTGGCTACCACGCAGGCCCGGCTCTCAAGTCGGCAAGGCCTCCAGGAAGCCCCAGGGCTGCCTGATGCTGAGAATGAGTGGACCGTGCTACATCTGTCATTCAACAGTGCATACGCTTTTTGCTCTACCATCTCTCCAAGGACTATAGAATGGTGCTGAAGCCAGATCAGTGTGTCTCCCATGAAGGTGACTTTGCCTGTCTCTGGGAAGCCCTCTGTGACTGAATTTGATATTGAGAAGACGTGGACCATATTACATACGACACAGAGATAGCGCATGTTCTATGGTCAACCATCTTTTCAGGTACCTTGGAGAGGGCTGATGTTAGAGCCGGTGTCTCTTTCCTCTCGCTAGCATCACCTCCAGGAAGCCCTCTGAGGCCTGATGCAGTATTGAGAAGAGGCCACCATGCAATGTCTGCCACAGATGCAGTGGACACAGCACAAAGGAACCCCTCAAGAATGGAGATGACGCTGGAACTAGTGCTACGCCTGACACTTGTTACTGCCTACAGAAAGCCCCCAAGGTGCACGCTGTTATAGGAAGGTGGACCAAGTAACATGCGTTGTAAGTAAAACATATGAAGCATGGCCAACTTCTACTAAGTACCCCGAGGCAGTACTGGTACCAGAACTGGTGCCTCGTCTCCTGAGCTTAACATAACCTCCTTGGAGACTTTCCAGGCTGAAAGGGACACTCGAAAAGAAGTAGACCATGTTACATACGTCATGGGGAAAAGACATGCAGTGTGGCTGAACCCTTTTCAGGTACCGTGAGGTCAGTGAAGAGGCCAGAACCAGTGCTCTGTCCCCGAGGCTGGCAGCTTCTTCAGCAAGTTCTCCAAGCAAGGGTTCTGGACTGGAGATAGGGAAGAAGTGGGCCACGGAGGTACTTCCTCTGTAAACATACACAATGGGTCGATCAGATCTTCATGAGGATCAGGGCTGAGTCCAGAGCTGGGGCATCTTCCCCCGAGATGGCTAGACTTGAGATGGAAAAAAGATAGACTGTACACGCATCAGCAAAGACAAAAATGAGTCAGTGCGTCTTCAAGTACCTGGAGTGGCATCGTCTCCTGGACCCATATCTGCTCCTACATGGGCGTACTGTCCTGAAGTCATCTGAGGAGAGCTTTGAGGATGAGAGGTGGCCTGTTTCACATCCCTCCTTCATGAACATTAGTGGCACCTGCCACCGTTTCTTCAATTACTCCAGAGGGATGTGCCAACATGAGCAGCAGGACACCTTCCTGGAGGTCATCCTTGTCCTGATGAAGCCACTGGAGGCTGTGTTTGGCACTGAGAAGAAGACCACGTCACAAGCATTGACAGAGAAAGCACACATCTAAGAGTCTACCATTCCGCCAAGCACCATGGCATGGCGAGGATGCCGAGACCCGTGGCTCTCCTCTAACTGCAGGCTTTCTTCACGGAGGTTTGGATGGCTGGGCTGGATACCAAGAAGCGGTTTACCGTCCCACATACATATTGAAAATGTATGTGGGACGGTAAACCATTTCTTCAAGTACCGCACGATGGTGGTTGTGGCTGGAAGAAGGCTCAAGTCCACGAAGCTGCCCAAGGGTGCCTCTTCTAGGCTGCACTTGAAGCTGAGAAGAAGCAGGTCACGGAGTCTACTGAATAAGTGTTGCGTAGTCAACCACGTCATTGAACGCCATGGAATGGCACTGATTCCGGAAAGAATCAAGGTCTCCTCCCCAGGGATGGAGCGATTTCCCGAGGCAGAACTTGATTTAAGAGGAGCGAGATTATGCCATTTTGCATCATGCAGAAAAACACATGCCATACAGAAAACCATCTCTTCGGGTATCATGGAGAAGTGGTGGTGGGTCCAATGGTTCCTCCCCGAAGACAGCGTTGTTTCCAGGAGCCTCGGGGATGGATTTGATACTGAGGGTTAGTGGACCGTGTTACATACGTCACAGATAAAGCGTACGCTATACGGTCTACTATCTCTCCAAGTACCACACAGAGACGCCGAGGACAAAGGCTCAGGACACATCCAGAAACCCCTCCAAGGCCTTGAGCTGGGTGGAACCAGAAGGGAGGTTGAGCACAGCACATGCATCATGCCACAAGCACACACAGGCCGGGAGTCTCGTCTTCATGGTCAGGGGTTGACATGGATGCTCGAAGCAGTGGCTCATCCCCAAAACTGGCAACTCCTCCAGGAAGCCCTCCAAGGCTGAAAGTTCCACTGAGAAGAAGTGGATGATGACATGGATTTCATCACTCCATAAATACCGATTAAGTGCCCGCTATGTGCCAGACACACTGTGCTGGGTCTGAAGGAGTGGGTAGGTGGGAGGGAGGACATGCCACATGGCTAACAGAGCTGGTTGGGGGAGTGGGGAGAAAATCAGAAATGCAAAATGGCCCATGTGCAACCAAAGAACATCCGTCTAGTTACACTGACCAGGCCAAGAAACAGTACTGGGCAACTGAAGCCCAGATCTTACCTATTAGTGAGCTCTAGTCTTGGGCATTTAAAAAAAAAACAAAAAACAAAAAAAACAGTGCTGTAAGGCCATATCTGCCTCAATACCAAAGGCATTTCCAGGAGGTCCTCTTAGGTTGGATGAGCACCATGCCATCTTCATGAACAAAGCAGGAGTTGTTTTGGTCAACCACCTCCCTAAGGACAGAACCACTGTCTCATTCCCAGACTTGGCACTGCCTTCGGAAAACCCTCTGAGACTGAATGTAAGATTGATCAGAGGTGGACATTAGTATAAACAGAAAACTTCAACACAGGAAAGCAACTCTTCAATGCCACACAGCGGAATGAAGGATGAACTGGTGGGTCCCCCTGAAGGTAGTACTGGCTCCACGAAGCCCTCCCAAGCTGGCAGGCTACTGGGAAGTGGCAGCCCATGTCACACAAATCCCTCCTTTCGCATAGGCCACATGGCAAACCATCTCTTCCAGAACCACGGCTGAGGCTGGAACCGGTGTCTTGGACCCAAGTTGCATCACTTCCAGAAAACTCCCCAGAGAGTGTATTTAGTGCCCAGAAGAGCCAGGCCTTGTTGCACAAGTCAGACATCAACCATGAACCACAGAAATGGCCGTGGAGCAGTGCTGAAGCTAAACCCAGTGTTCTCTTCCCTGAAGCTGGCAACACCTCCAGGAAGCCCTCCGAGGATGGATTGGATACTGAGAGTTAGTGGACCATGTTACATAGGTCAAAAATCATAACGCCTACGTTCCATAGTCTACCATCTCTTCAGGAACCACGGAATGGTGCTGACCCCAGAACCAGGGCCTTGCCCCTGAAGTTGGCGTCACTTCCAGAAAGCTTTCTGAGGCCTGACTTGGCATTGGAAGCAGGCACATGGTGAACATAAACAACCCCTCCTCCAATGTGAGGCAGCGGCATTGACGGGGGAAGGGATGCCTCTACCCTAAGTGGTAATTCCTCCAGGAAGGCCATGTCAACTCGGAAAGATTGCGACAAGGCAAAGTGTACACTATTGACCATGCTTTGGCCATCATGTGGTCAACT